AGGAGGAGGAATTTGAAATTGTTAATATGAATGATGATTAGAAATTATTTTTTTACTATATTTTGTAATTCATGTTTAATAAAGATTAATAAAGTATAAGGTACTTATTTTCAATAGTGTTTATTTTCGATTTTGCATAAAATTACACAAAATAAGGGGATGCTTATTTTTGAGGGATGCTTAATTTCAATAAAATATGGTAAAAATAAAGGTTATTTTATTATATTATAATCTAATAAATGGTTATATTATAATCTAAATAATCATAATTAGTAATATATATTAGAAATTGAAAGTACTTACTTCTAATTCTTTTAATTCTAACAATATTTTCAATTCTAATAAAAAGTTATTAGAAGTTTTCAATACCTATAAAAATATATAAATTTTATATTAAGTGAAAATTAATAGTACTTTTAAATTTTCAATTCTTTCAATTCAATAATATTTTCAATTCTAATAAAAATTATTGGAAAATTATAATGCTTATTAACTACATTATGTCTTATTAGATACATTATAATCTAACATTATAATTTAATTCAAGTTATATTTGGCTTTATTATTTTGGGTAAAATAATTCTATTTATATTAAGAACATTTGAAAGTATTGAAGTAATATATTAAAAAAAATTATTTAGGATTATTATATTAAATTTTGATTTAAAACAATTTTTACCTTTTTAGATAATTTTCTATCTCTTAAAATATTTGTTATACTTTTAAATTAAAGATACTAATCCATTTTATTATTTATTTGTTATATAAAAGATCTGATATTTGTTGCTACACAAACTTCGGTTTGACCAAATCGGATTAGTCAATTAACAATGTTGATAACCTTAGATGGATAAGCGTTTTTATTCGTCACATATTTATATTTGTTGGTTTAGTATTATTTTGCTCTATTTAACAAATTTAGGTTAGAAATAAAAAAGGATTTAATTCATAACCTACAAAACAGATATTCAAGATTTACATAAACTCAAAATTCAATAAGAACTTGACATTAGACAAAATCATCGAGATTATTGAAAATCATCATGAATCTCTGAATGAACTGGCCTGTTTCATGCCAAAATTTTTTTTTTTTTTTTTTAATTATAAGAAAAAAACTATTTACAAATTATTTTGATACCGCCAAAAATAAACCAATTATATTATAGGATGTTTTTCTATAATAAACACGGTATATTCAAACACTTCCCTGAGTGCTCAATGTTATTGACGGTAAATCTCTAAATTAAATATTTACATAAACAAATAAATTTGTTTCAATGCTCATCATAATGTTAATTACAATTAAATTTTGCCCCTTAATGTTGGTTAACTTTTTTTTGTTTTGTTACTTACATAAAGGGAAATGTAAAGTGTTTCACCAAAACACCAAAATTAATAATAAGAATAAAAATAAATTATACAAACATTAAAATAATGCCAATCACAACAGCAATAATAAAATAATAATAAAATGAATAACAGTGATACAATAATTAAGATTATTGTTCTTTTCATCAATTTTTTGCAAATATACATCACAATATCTACGACGATTTGTATGATTTAATATCTAGTTGATCTTGATTTTGTTTGTGATGTGCTTTTCTTTGCCTCTCTGCTTTTAGAGTCATTATCTTTGCTCCATTCTTTTAACAAACTTCTAACGTAGTCAACAGCAACTTTAATATCGGAATCTAAACCAAATCCAAGTTGCTTATACGTTTTTGTTGCTCTATCCCAATACTTTGTGAATTCACTTATCATTTCTTCTACTTTATTCGATTCACTAAGAGTTCTAATAAATAATATACATAATTTTTTATTACAAGTATTGAGGAAATATCGAAATGAAAAAAAAATAACCTAAAAACAAAAAACAAAAAAAAAAAAATTTACTTGTTATAATGGTCGCGTTTATATGTCAAAGTTTGCTCTGATAATCTTCCGGTCGTCTCGATTAGTTCATTATAACGTAAAATGGTATCTTTTAACAAGGGACGAACCCTTTTATCCTCAAAAATAAAAAATCTTCTTATTATCAGGGCCTTTAATCCACAGAAAGCTGCTTGGATCTTCTTGTCCTTATCGAATTTATTAATGACATGGTTCATAAACGCGGCCGGATTTACAACATTCTCATCATGTCCTAGCGATGCAGCGATTAATTGTTCGTAGAATGCTTCGGCGTAATAACACGCTGCCTCAGCATAGTCGCTCACGAAGTTTGAATGATTCTGATCTCCACGACGTTTTACGTTCGTTGCTTTTTTAAATAGATCTTCGTAACGTTTGTGAGCTTCGCTAGCCATTCTCATTATTTTATCATTATCTGCCGAGGTCGAGATCGTGCTGGATGAGGAAGCATTTATAGAAGAAAAACCATTATCTGTTTGCACTCCGACCGAAATAACTTGAGGAGGAGGGGGGAGAGGATCAGTTTGAACCTCTTGATTGTTCGTCTCCACTGTGGCTTGTACATATTGATCCACTCCGGTTTGAACGGTCACATTACCCTCTATCTTCCTTTTCTTTGGCGTCATTGGTTTTGAAGACGCGGCGTCATCATCATCACGGCTACGTTTTGAACCGCGTTTCAAAGTAACAATGAATTGCTCTGGTCGTGCTGGCTCCTTTACACTACTCGTCTCGACATTCTCGTCCAAATCCGCGACTTTATCTTTACCTCTTCCCTTAAGAGCAGGGCGCTTTTGTGGACGTTTCATAGCGACTTCTTTGTCTTTATTCCTCTTATGGGTAAGCTTTTTAACATCATCCTCCTTGGGGAGGGTGAGCTTTTTTCTTCCTTTTCTGATGTTTTCGTACGTCTATTTTAAAACAATTTACATATTTTAACACATTTATTTCGATTTACATTTTACTAAAAACTAAAAGAAATACCTACTTCGAGCAAATTTTGGCATTTAGTCAATGATAAAGCGCAGCCCGAAACTGAAGAAGGGAGTACGACGCCCTCTGGAGTAAGTTTTTTTGTTGCAGGTTGTTTTCCTGTTGTTTTTGTAGCAACACCTGTAGTTGTTACTTGAGGAGCCTTTTGAACTTCTTCGTGTCTTCGTTGTCGTTGACTCGATGGCGGATGAGTCCTCCTATAATGATGATATTGTAACGATCAAAGATCAATCATGAGGAAGGATTTTGATTAATCATGATGAAAGATTTTGATTAATCATGGATTTTGAATTATTTGGAACAGATTATTACCTTGCCGCAGTAGAATTCGTGTCACCATTTTTCTTTGGTGGCCGACCTTTCTCTTCCCCTTTTGATAGACGACCTTGTTCTTCAAGCGCCTTTAGTTCTTTATCGTGTAAAAACTTCTTATTATTAATTCCAAGGCTTAAAAGCATGTTAGCAAGAGATAAGTCGACTTTCTTCTCTGGCGCGGAAGTTTGGCCATTTGTTGTGGCATTGTTAGGATTAGGGACAGGCTGTTGTTGCGTACTTTTTTGCTGTGATTGCTGAAGGGATTTTTGCTGAGAATTAAATACCGGTCCTCGCTGATGATGTCCAGCCTGTTGGTTGGTCCCTTGTTGGTGATTTATCGACTGCTGTGAATTCCCTCGCTGATGTTGTTGTTGATTAGGCCAATATGGTTGTGGGGATGGGGGATGTTCTGTAAATGAAGCCCACTCGTCGAATGGCGGTATGCAATCTGGACGTAAACGATACTGACCACGAGAAAGGTGCTTATTAGGGCCATTTGAAAACCGGATTTTCAATTCTTTAACTCTATTGTAAGTAAGCTTATTAAGACCTGCTAAATGCTTGAAATTATTTTGGTGTATAGGATCTGGATTTTTTGAAACTCCTGACATGGTCGGTATTATCTCGGTTACAAGAAACAGTAACCTTTCGAAGTAAAAGAGTACGAGCAATATCTATTCACGGATTGTATATTGAACAGTTGAAAGTGTAACAACTATTCAAGGGAAAAATACTGTAATCTGAAAATATTCCAAACTAACGATAACTTTAAGTTCTAACTAATCCAAAAAAAAAAAAAAATAAACAAACTCAGTCAACAGTAATTTGATGCAGGTGTTGTTAGTATCTAGAAAAATAAACTTGATAAGAACGAACAAAAATTTTTGAGAAAATGCGGATATTTATCCAAAAAAATTTCCTACTTACTTTTTTAAGTGAAACCAATAACATTGTCGAATATTTTCCGATAATTATTGAACCTGCCGAAAAACCGGCAAAAATCAATCGATTGATGCCACGTGATCATGTCAATATTGGTTATACGTCACAGGCTCATGTTACTAACCCTATCACTCGTGAGTTTCCGATATTGATTACTTATCCCAAATTTAAAAAATTTATAAAGGGGGGTATTTATCGCGTCGAAGTAATTAGGAACTGCGGATCTTTGAACCGATAAAAATTCATTTTGTTTATGACAAATTTGGATAATTATGTGATTATATCCCGAATTTGATTTGAATTATGAAATAATTTCTCGTTGCGAACCTTTTTTCTTTATAGTTTTTGAAAATCTAATGAAAATAATATACCCGATAAAAGATCAGAAATTCGGATCCTGATAAATAGGTTGCTAATCTGAATACTCATGAAAATTTCCTTAGATTTCTTTTACCGTGACAGTTATCATCCACACAACCGTCTCAAATTCCCCTCTTATACTACAAAAGCAATTGATAACTCTCGCAACTTAATCAAAAAAGTCTTTATATATACTCTTTATCTTCTGAATCTCCTCAAAGATGGCAGGTATGTATTAAGTAAGCCATAGAAACAACTTAACTAAAGCTTTACTACTCTAAGGACCATTGGCTTCACTTCATAAAATATTTGTCGATATTTGAACGATCAAAAAAAAATTTTCTACCTGTTTGTATTATAAAATATTATTCCGCGTCAAAGTAATTCACTGTTCTTACTAAGCTGAGCCTTAATAAACATAGGCCAGCTTTATCCCGACCACACCTTTTTCAACTACCTTTTCATCCCTCTTTTTATCCTTTATCATTCCACTTAAATTTGAACCTTCTTTTGCCTTTACCTTTCCCTATTATATTGCTTCAAAGTAATATTTTATAACTTCTTATTGAAATTTCCTTAATTTTTATGGTTTTTTGTTCAATATTTCGTCTACCTCCTTAGTTATAATACTTTATATTTCTTCCCTTTTCAACTCCTACCCTTCTTTCCTATTTCGATCATCTTCACCATCTTCAACATTAATAATTTATATGTGACACAACCTTTTTAGAATTTTGATTTTGTCGTGTTTTCTACTATTATTTGCTTCTACAAATCCTCATTTTAACCCTTCAAAACTTTTTACACGTGCGCTTACCTTCTTTTCCTCTAAAGCGCGCAACTACTCTTGTTTTCATATACTATATTTTGCTATACCTTTCACTTAGTTAGAGCCTTAGAAATTTAGAAATCTCTTAGAACATTTGACAAATATAGTCGAGTTCTTTGCTAATTTATATTCCATTATACCTCCTCCGCCTTTTAGGTTCAGAATTTATGGAACTTGACCCTGAATTATATGGCTTGCGTAGATCTCGACGCATGGCTAATACTCCTCGTGCTGTCAGTTACAAGGTATGATGGATACTTGCGTAAATGATAACGAATTGTCGGTTTGTAATACTAATGTTTATTCTTCATTATAAAACTACTTAGTTACCTTCAACTTCAGAAGAAGACACTGATGGTGATGAACTCGATTCTTCTATTACCTCAAGAAAACGTAAGAAGGCCATGATGGTCGGTAAGAAAATCCTTCCAAAGAAAAAATCAAAAATCTTAAAATCCCACGGTAAGATTTTTCGACGTCACAATGATAAATCTTACTCTCAAGTCTTTACATCCTTCATCTAACTTTGTTGGACAAACTTTTTATCCTTGAACAATTTACTAACCTTTCTTTCTTACCTTACCACTTTCTAAACATTTCTTTAATAGGTTGGGATAACTCCGCTTCTAATTCGAACGACGAAGATAGTGTCTTTGCTTCCTCTCCTCAGACTAATAAAGATACTTCGTCTACAAACGACACTGACGATCCAGAATGGCATTCTTCAAAGAACGTTTCAACATCAACATCGTCAAGGCATAAGAAGAACACATTCCTCAACACCAACGACTTCATAATGGAAAAACGATACTCTAGGCGTACCCGCACTATCACGAATTATAATGAAGACGAAATTGATAGACGACTTGGGTTAGAAGTCTATGAGGATGATGTGCAAATTGATGAATACGCCCAACCAGAAGAAGGTAAGGATGATAATCTTCAAACATGATTATCATTTTCTGCAAACATCCCAGCAAGTATAATAATCACTCATTTCTTTATACTTTAGAGGAAAATGTAATTGAAAGCATTCATGATATAAGGAAGATTGAGGGTATAGGTATGTTATTCATGGATTCATACTGCTTTGTTTCTTTGTTATAGCTTCACAATGAACATGTTAATCATTAAATAATATCATTTTTTACCCTTCTTTTTAATAAAAAAAAATTTTTTTTTTTAAGATAATGGACCAGCGAATCCGAGAACAAATATGGAATTCTTTATTAAATGGAAGAGCTGGAGTCATTTGCATAATACATGGGAATCTTATGAAAATCTCCGAGGCCTAAAAGGATTCAAGAAGTTGGAAAACTTTATCAAGAACTATGAAGCGGAACAACAAGCATTATTAGAAAGTCCGGAAGATAAAGAAACGAGCGATGTCAAGATGGAAATGTTTAGAGATATACTAAAAGATTATAAGACAGTAGAACGAATTATAGCGGAGAAAACCTCGTCTCCAACCGAGGAGAATCCTTTTCCAAATGCCGAATATTTATGTAAATTCAAACGTCTCCCCTACCAAGATTGTACTTGGGAAACATTCGATGAGACAAAAATAAAAGATTTTCAATCAGAAATAGATGCTTTTAAAAATCGTAATAACAATCTACGAGTTCCCAACAAAAGCAAATTATACAACAAGAATCGTCCCGCATTTAAACCATTAACATCACAACCTAATTACCTCGTTGGGGGCGAACTTCGAGACTTTCAACTTACTGGATTGAATTGGCTAGCTCATTTATGGGCTAAAAATGGGAACGGCATACTTGCTGATGAGGTATTTACACTCTTCATCGTAGTCATTCATTCATCCTTTTTTTTTCTTTTTAGCTAAGATTATATCATTTTAATTTATACTCTAAATATAGATGGGTCTCGGTAAAACCGTCCAAACAATTTCGTTCCTTTCATATCTTTACCACGAAAAGGAACAGTTCGGACCTTACTTGATCGTCGTACCTTTGTCAACGATCGGGTCTTGGCAAAATGAATTCCAGACATGGGCACCTGATCTAAATGTTATTATATACACTGGTAATTCTCAAAGTCGTGAAGTCATCCGCGAGCATGAATTCTTTTTCCCTTCCACTTCTTCATCATCAAGACGACCGAAGTTTAACGCTTTGGTGACGACATATGAATTCATTTTAAAAGATCGATTAGAACTTGGAAATATAAAATGGCAGTATTTGGCAGTGGATGAAGCACATCGCTTGAAAAACAGCGAGTCGCAGCTCCATGAAGTATTATCAACATTTAATACTACAAATCGTTTATTAATTACCGGAACACCTCTGCAAAATTCGATCAAAGAATTATGTGCATTGGTTAATTTCTTGATGCCAGATTTTGAAATCAGTGCGGAGATAGATATTGAAGCACCCGATGCAGAACAAGAAACTAAGATCCGTGAACTACATAAAAGTCTTGAGCCATATATGCTTAGACGCCTTAAAAAGGATGTCGAAAAATCATTGCCGCAGAAGACCGAAAGGATTTTACGAGTTATTTTATCACCATTACAGATGCACTATTATAAAAATATCCTTACGAAAAATTTTGATGTTTTGAATGAAGGAGTCACTGGTTCTTCTCAAATGAGCCTTTTGAATATTGCAGTCGAATTGAAAAAGGCCAGCAATCATCCATTCTTATTCCCAAATGCCGAACCTCGTACAGTTCGTAATGAAGATCAATTGCGTGGCCTAGTTACCAACAGCGGGAAAATGGTACTTTTGGATAAATTATTAACAAGATTAAGGGAATCAAACCACCGAGTTTTAATTTTCTCTCAAATGGTTCGGATGCTGGACATATTAACAGACTACCTTAAATTGCGAGGTTATCAACACCAAAGGTTGGACGGAAGCGTTCCATCGGAAGCTCGTAAAAAGTCCATAGAACAATTTAACGCCCCGAATTCACCTGATTTTGTTTTTCTACTATCGACACGTGCTGGTGGTTTAGGTATAAATCTTAATACAGCAGATACTGTCATTATTTTTGATTCCGACTGGAATCCGCAAAATGATCTTCAAGCGATGGCCAGAGCACATCGTATTGGACAAAAGAACCATGTGAACGTCTATCGATTTGTATCAAAAGACACGATTGAAGAAAGCATCCTCGAACGCGCAAAACGTAAAATGGTTCTTGAGTATTGCATCATTAAACAAATGGATACTTCTGGAATGAGTATCTTGCAAAAGAATCCGAAAAATTCAAAGCCATCAGAGAATTTTAGTCGCGAGGAACTGTCTGCAATTCTCAAGTTTGGTGCTCAAAACATGTTCAAAGAAGAAGGTGCCAAAAAACTTGATGATCTCGATTTGGATGATATACTGGCTCGAGCTGAAACTCACGACACGGTTGGGGACCAAACGAGCAGTAGCCTTGGAGGTGAAGAATTTTTGAAACAATTCCAAGTCGCTGACTTTGGTGATGGAGATATGAGTTGGGAAGATATCATACCTCAAGAAGAAAGAGAGCGACTAGCAAAGGTTGCCGCGGAACTTGCTCAAGAACAAGAGTACGATAACAATAATAAGACAGGATCGAAGCGCAAGGCAGTTGTTCAAGGTGGGACTAACGTAATCGACTCGGACGATGATGAAGACGAGCCACCAAAGAAAAAAGTTAATCGTAAGAAGAAGCAAACAAGTCGAAAGAAGAAAAAGGTGAATGATGACGATGAAGTTCGTCCTAAGAAGTCCAGATCTAAACGAAAAGTGGTTTCGGATGATGAACTTTCACGTGAAGACAGGGATGATTCTGACTCAGATTCTAATGATGGCCGTATGACGAAAAAATCGCGCTCACGTAGAAGGAAAGGTGATAACACGAATGGGAAAAGATCAAACGGAAGACGTTATAAACATTCTTCATCCGAAAATGAAGACGATCGTACTACTCAAAAGAGATCAAAATTGAATAGGAAGCATAAAGATTCAGAGGAAGACGACGAACCAATAAAAGCATTAAAAAAACAAAAATCCGCAACAAGTTCATCACGTGAAATGTCACAAAAAGATGTACGAGCATTAATAAAAGGTATTATGAAATTTGGTGACATTCATCAACGATATGAAGAAGTTGTTGCAGAGGCTGGCCTACAAGAAAAGGATCAGCAACATCTACTCACAGTCTATGATGAATTATTTACGATATGTAAAAAGGCTGTTGAAGAACACGAGGCTTCAAATGATGCTAACTTTCCCAACCCTCGTGGAAAAGCAATACAAACCACATATCGCGATGTAGATAAAATTAACGCGGGCGCGTTGATTCAGCGCGTTAATGATCTTAAAAGCTTGCATGACAAAATAAAGAGTAAGTGTTTTTATTTATATGACTTTTGAATTCATATCAAACTATTTAATTAAAACTTCTTTTAGGTGTTGCAGATCCCGTGAGATTTAGAATCGCGGTTTCCACAAAACCAGTTACCAATTGGTTTTCGGATTGGAGTCAACCTGAAGATGATTCTCTCGTGGCAGGAATATACAAACACGGCTTTGGTAATTGGAAAGCTATTCGCAGTGACCAAGAGTTGGGCCTCGCTGATAAGCTTTCCATCGACGAAGGTGATGCAGCCCAACGTACAGCCTTAACTGCCAAGGTCGTACGAAGGGCCGAATATTTGTTGAAGGTTGTCCGGGAATTGGACGATGAGGAGGAGGAACGGGTAAAAATTAAATTAATTTATATTATTCAATTAATAATAACATGTAATAAATTAAATTGTTATTTTATAATTACTAATAGGGTCGACGACTTCGATTTCGTCCTGGCTCTCGTGGGGATGGTCCTGGCGAAGCAGGTCCATCTGCCCGTGATTCTGCACCCACTAAGGGGAAGAAGGCTGCGAAACACATAAACAACTCAAATGAAGAAGATTCTATCCAGCAACCAACTGATCGAGAATGTAAAGAGCTACTACGTCCAGTCAAGGATAAACTTCAGTGGCTCAAGAAGGTAATGAATAAACATCTTTCCCTTATTTTATTTAATAACCATATTAAAATTTTTTTTTTTTTTGTTTTATAGGAATCGGGTCAATATAGTGGTAAGGAGAAGGCCAGACTTATCAAAGAGTCACTTAAAATTATTGGCGCGAAGATTGGAGATATCCTTGCCACAAAGTCAGCGGCCGAAAAAACTCAGTGGCAATTTAATTTGTGGCAGTTCGTTACGTATTTTTGGCCTCGAGAAATTGGGGCAGAAAAATTGATCGATCTGCATCGCAAACTGGAAGCTGCCGAGGCGGGTTTAGGCAATTAAGATAAATATAAATATATATAGGGATAAATAGTTTGGGTAGAAACAAAAAATTTAGCAATTATTAAAGAAGAAAAGGACAATGGAATAATTATAATTGGAGGGTATTAAGAATAATATATATTTTTTTTTGAAATGTAATGTAAAAAAAGTAGATAGCAATTAGTAGAGAAATATAAAAATTTATGGTGGAAAATTAATCCACCTTTGTATATTTTATTAATTTTTTTCTTTTTTCGGTTTTATACATATAAAACCGAAATTTAATTGTAGATACAAGGAAAAAAAAATTTTTTTTAGTATATAGTGTATATTTTCTTAGGAAAATAATTATTATTTTGGTTTGGCAGGTGACAAACCAATTAAAAAAAGCATTTATATTAATCAAATTTAAATATAGTTTTTAATGTAATTAGTCACTCAAATGAAATAAAAAGCAAGCATTTTTTAATAATAGTCTTTAATCGAGTTTTTGATATTTAATTAAAATTATATATATTTTAATATAATTTGCTATGGTGATTCATTGCCGGCGTCACGTGATTTCTTATAATGAATAATTTGTCATCTCGCGTCACACCATTCACATTTTATATATTCTGGGAACAGAGAATTTTTTCGAATGTAAAATCATATTCGTCACATGTTATTCGTCACATTCTTAATTTCGGTAACGTTATACAAATCCAAAAAGCAATTTTGATTTTGGCAAAAATTCAAAATTCCATTAAAATATTATATATTTTTTTAAACAAAATATTAATCTAAAAGTAAGACTGTATTTTGTATTACGAAACGAGAACTATTGTTAAATCCAGAATGATCTTAACTAAAAAAAATCACACTGGTATTTGTTTTATCTAGATAAACTATTGTACAATTACAAAAGCCAATCAGCATTGATCCAATTATTGAGCGAATAAACATCAGAATACTTTACATAGAAATATATAGTCCTTTCTTTCATTCTGAACTAATAAATTTTCTTTAAATCATTCATATTAATTACAAAAAAAAAATTCAAATTAATTTAAATGATTTAAATTATTAAAATCTTAAAAAATTAAATAATCTGAATTGTAATATTCAAATTAATTTAGATAATTCAGATTAGTTCAAACTATAAAAAAAACTAAATATTAATTATTTAATAAAAGTTATATCTATTGATTCTTACATTTTATTTAAAAATTTTTTATTAAATTGTTTATTATCAGTGAAATAATTAATTAATAAAAATGAAGTTATGTGAATCATGCAGTATAATAATTTTTTAATACTAAATTCTAAAAATATTGTAAATTCTATAAATACTGAGAATACAGAAGATCTACAAAATTCAGCTTATTTTTTGAATACTTATAATAATTTTAATTTCATAGATTGAACAAAGTTTAGAAATATTTGATATAATATAAAGATGGTTTTCATAATTATTTTCAAATTTCAATTGAGTTGCAACTTAATTGCACCATAAGTTGCAATTTAATTGCACTATTTTTTTTAATTATGGTAATCATCTTTAATATAATATTTATTTTTAATATTTACTTTTTATTATTTTTCTTATTTTACTACATATTATTATTATTAAATTATTTAGTTTATAATATAGTAATTAGTTAGCTGTAACTAAAAGATTTTATATAAATACAAGTTTCAATATTATAATAAAGAAATTAATTAAAACTTATAATTTTCTATTTTTTTTATGTCTTTATATAGTCTAATATAATTTTTTTTACATGAGATTTATAATTGATTTTATTATCAGTCGCCGGCAACTTCATGATATAATTATATCATGAAGTTGCCGGCGACTTATATTAGGTTATGAAGGTAACTTCAT